AGAATCTCTAAGTTTACACACACACACACACACACACACACACACACACATAAAAAACCCTCGCTTGTTTATTTCCGCACCCAGTGCCTCATACGCAACCTTCCTACTGAAAGTGGCTCTTACTGAATTATGGTCTCTTAAGAGTCATCTAGGAAAGGTGGAAGTGAAGAAATCCTCTTTGGGAACACTAGCCTGAGGTCTGCACTTCAGAGCTGCCCATTATCAACATTTCACGGAGACTTTCCTTATTTTTAGGTCCCCGAGGAAAGAGTAGTAAATTACAAGTCAGGCTCACCAAGCCACACTTGGCTCCAAAAATCACATTTTCCTACCTCAACATTGAAGTCCCAGAGGTGGGCAGAGGAAATCTGGTCACAGCCAAAGAAGTCATTTTTTGGCTCAGAAATGCATTTTCCTGCTTCTCCAAAGCCCTCCCCACTGAGAGTACCAGAGCTTTGTGCTGGACTCTTAACAGCGCTCTCTTTATTTTTGCTGTAACAGCCAGCTTCTGAAGATTACAGTGATTATTTTTCACTCCCTTAATATACAAGCAAGTGCAAAGGCTCTGCTTTTCAAACTCCCTGCTTCTCTTTCATTAAGGACTAATATAGCAACTCTCAAACTCTGCAGCAAAAAATCTCCCTATATCTGGAGCAGGGGGGACAGAGATCGGTTGATTCTCCTCAAATATAACCAAGAGAAGAATGCAAAAGGTGTCACCATTACGAAAATCAATTCATTAAAACAACATTTAAATTAAACAACTGACAATTTTAAAAATAATCAAAATGAATAATAAGATCTGTCACACATTCAAGTCCTGTGATTCTGCACAAGTCTTAATAGGGTTATTGGTGGGATGTGTAAATATGAGATTCAAGAGTATGTTCTAATTACCTTCCAATCACAAAGTTAAAATGATAAAGGCACATAAAGGGGCTTCCCAATACAGTTATTTAAGAGAGGGCTCTATGGTTTATACTGGGAATTTCTCACCCTGAAACTCACTTACAGGTGGTACCTAACACCACAGAAACTAGTGCTGATATGCCCAGGAGCCTCGCCAAAATGATGGAGAGGCTTTACCTCCACAGGTACATACCTCCACATGTGGTGGGAATGTCCCCAAATCCAACTCTTCTGGAACATCAGTCATACAAGAAATATGCAAAATAACTAAGCAAGTATTAGAAGTCACCCCAGAACTGGCCCTACTGAACATCTTCCAAGATAATATTGCCCACTCACATTATAAAGAGCTCATAACCCACCTACTCTCAGCAACCAGAAGAATCATAGCCGGACACTGGAGATACTTACCAGGAGTAATCATGGATCAATGGTATCAAATAGTATGGAAAACAGTCTTACTAGAAAAACTAACCAACAATGTAGAAGACGCCTTCAGCCCAGTATAGTTCCCCTTTATCACATACATAGCCCAACAAGACAACAACAAGAATCTGCTGACAGCATACAAATCAATCTGGCTAACCTGATCCAAAAATCCACCCCCATACACTCACATACATAAACAAATCTCACTACAGCCAACCAAAGACAACCAACCACACCCTAGGCCACCCTCAACCTCTCTCACCACCCAGGAAATACAACAAGCAAATAGTAAGAGAACCCATACAAAACCCCACACGAAAGCTTATACCCAGAACAAACTTAGTTGGTCTCTAAGGTGCTACTGAACAATTTTTTAATTTTTTAAATTTATTTTAAAAGAATAGAAGCATTACCACCCCACCATCCCCCTCATCTTTTCTTCCCAAACTAATATTGCATGCAACACTAACGTCTCACAACAAATGAAACTGATCTGTAGAAAACACAACTTGAAAAAAGAGACAATGCACACGTTTTTGTAAACTAAGAAATCTTTCCTCATCATCATAATAAACAAAGGACCACAGACCAACTCTTCTGCATGCCAGTGTGTTTTCCTATTGCAAAGTGCATCAGCAGATGTGCAGTAATGGTAGATGGCCTCTGGCCGCTTTATGTCAGAGAGTTTCCCCAGTCAAGTCAAGTCCCTCTTCTTCAGAAGTACTTAATCATCCCCATTGCTCACCCTCAGCCCCAGTCTCAGAAAAGACTTCAATTACTTCAGTTGCAAGTGGCAGGAATTCAATAGAGAGAGCATTGCTTTCACTCTAGACACAAGAAAAGGCTGCTGGCTTACACTGCTATGTTGACATGGCCCCAAAGACAGCTGGCAGATGAATGCTGAAAACACCTTTGCAGCCAAGGGCCAAGCTGACCAGGGGCAAACTCAGCACAGAATGCTAGAGGGAGTGGGGAATAAATGTGGTGCTCCTCAATAACACCTACTAGATGAAGTTAAAAGAGGTCTTGATGGTCTTCTTCTTCTGGGGACAAACCACCATGGCTTTTGTGAATAGACTTGCTGATGTAAGGCTATCATCGCATGTCCCTCCCAGCACTCAGATCACAAACGAGGTCAACCTGACCCAAATTGCAATACTTCCTGGAGATATCTCAAGGTGTCCTAAGATTTCTCACTGTATATACATATTGCCATTCCTTTTTTTTAAAAAAAAATTATTCATTTTTAGGTAAACAGAACTACACAAGCAACAAAGAACACACAACATATTGGTCATCACAACCTCCTACAAGAATAGAAGTTAATGTCCCAAATGTCTGTATTGGCTCAGTTCAATAAATCATTCCACAAGCTCAAATGAGAGTGTGGTAGTGATCTTCCATTGTCTTCTGTTTCCACTTAGTTATATATTATCATTCTTAATACAATTCAGGTTTTGCGCAAACTTTGGTCAAAACTGAGCAATGTTTCCAAATGAAGCGGCTTTTTTTTTTTGCCAAACCTTGCTAAGCAATATCTAACTTTACACAATCTAGGGGAAACAGCAACATTTCTAGCATCTATAATCACCCTGGTAATAGCTCTTGCCGCCTAACTTAAGATATTTACCGTATTTTTCGCACCATAGGACGCACTTTTTCCCCTCCAAAAATGAAGGGGAAATGTGTGTGCGTCCTATGGTGCGAATGCAGGCTTTCGCTGAAGCCTGGAGAGTGAGAGGGGTCGGTGCGCACCGACCCCTCACGCTCTCCAGGCTTCGCATACCTCTCCGCAAGCAGCGGGAGCGCTCCCGCTTCTTGCGGAGAGTTGCCAGCATGCCGAAGCCTGTGCGCGCTGAGCTCAGCGCGTCCAGGCTTCGCGGACCTCTCCGCAAGCAGCGGGAGCGCTCCCGCTGCTTGCGGAGACTTGCCTGCATGCTGAAGCCTGCGCGCGCTCAGCTCAGCACGTCCAGGCTTCGCGCACCTCTCAGCAAGCACTGGGAGCGCTCCCATGGCTTGCAGAGAGCTGCCTGTTTGGGGGCTGGGGTCAGGGGAAGCTCGAGCTTCCCCCGCCCCAGCCCCGCGCCTGGGGGGGAAATAATTTCCCCCCCTTTATTTCCCTCCCAAAAAACTGGGTGCGCCCTATGGTCCGGTGCGCCCTATGGTGCGAAAAATACGGTAATTTATTTAGCAAAATTTGTAAATGACTTAACTTTGATTGAATGGGTTTACAAATACAGTGGTACCTCGTGTTACGGACGGGATCCATTCCAGAGGCCCGTCCATAACGTGATAAGCCTGCAACTCAAAGCGCCACATCTGCGCAGGCGCACGGTGCGATTTGGCACTTCTGCGCATGCGCAAAATGCGATTTAGCGCTTCTGAGCATGCGTGAGCGGTGAATCCCAGAAGTAACCCATTTCAGTATTTCTGGGTTGCCGCGGAACGCAAGATGAAAACATGCAACCTGAAGTGGACGCAACATGAGGTATGACTAATAAAATATACATTACAATTGTCAATAAAGAACAACATTAAAAACAAGCTGATAAGCCCCTAAAATGAACAGAATCAATATAAACGTATACACTCTAAGGAAAAAATACAGATTAAAATACATGTCTGGATAAGGGCCAATATGGTAGCAATGAAATTCCTCTGTCTGGTTATGACTTCAGGCCACTGTGGTGTAGTGGTTAAGAATCTTGGAAGAGGACCCCACTCAGTCATTAAGCTTATTTAGTGAGCCTGGGTGAGCCACTATCTTGTCGCTTAACCTACCTCACAAGGTTGTTGTGAACATAGAATGGAAAGCAGGAAGAACCTGAGCTTAGAGAAAAGTGGGAAATAAATGCAACAGCAGCAGCAGTAGCAGTAATAATAGTAATAATAATACCAGCAACTAGGCAAGCATGTCACTGGACCCAATAATAGCAAACAGCTAGGTAAGCACTATAATTTATTTCTTCCCCAGCCACTCTGTGCAGCTTCCAACAGAAGGTTAAAAATACATTAAAACATCAGTCATTACAAACCTCCCTAAACAGGGCTGCTTTCAGATGTCTTCTAAATGTCATATAGTTGTTTATTTCTTTGACATCTGATGGGAGGGCGTTCATAAAGGTTTTCTTTTGTTAGTACTTGTCAGAAAGCTGAGCAAGAAGCCTCCTGAATCTGAGCGTGTAACTTATTATAGCAAAGAAAGGGGTGTGCGACATCAATCACCATGAAAAGCAAGCAATAAATAGGAAGCCTCTGTATTGAATGGTCTAGAGCTACAATTCCCATTACCCTTGACCTTTGGCCTCACTGGCTGGGGCTGATGGTAGAGGAGTCCAACAATATATGGATGCCACAAGTGCCCTCACCCTTGAGCCAGGCCTTTATTTATTTATTTTTTTGCAGGCCTTCAAGCAACAAGCACTTTGCTACAGCTAGCAGGTGACAGCAGAGCTCTAACAGCAAGACACATTCAGATGAAGGTCAACCAAGATTCTAAACCAAATGAGTACATAACTTTTCAAGGCTCTTTGGTTTATATGTTGAAAAAACACAATCTTTTGGAAAGGGGCCAAGTGTGCAGTTATACACGGGTGGGTAATAAAATAATGAAACTGGACATGATGCCACTCACGTGATTTTGACAGTGTCAAGTTTCCTACCTGAAGGTCTTTCACGTTTGGAAATGGAATTCCTATGGTTACAACAGCACGGGCATTGTCATCAGAGAAATCCAAGCCTTCACTAACTTTGCCTCTGCAGACAGCAATAAGAAGTGCCCCATCTTAAATGAGAATGATAAAGAACTTAAGTTATGGATCATATCATTCATAATTTTGGATAAGCGATGGAAAATGAGCAAGGTCCCAGACAAAGAGGATTGACAACTTAAGATATCAGAATATGCAGAACTTGCAGGTTTAACACATGGAGTAAGAAAGCAATAAGAACATATATTTAAAGAAGAGTGGAAAACATTTATTGAATATATGGAAAATAATTGTACAAAACTGAAAATGCTGGCAACATTAAGATAAATTCAACAGTGTAATTAATACTAAGATTTATTTATTTATTTATTTATACATACATACATACATACATACATACATACCCTGCCCATCTGGCTGGGTTTCCCCAGCCACTCTGGGCGGCTAATTAATGTTTGAATGGTGTAAAAATGACTTGAATGGTTATAGTAAAATATGCAGGAATGGAAGATATGTAAAATGAACCATGGAAATAAATTAGGGAAGTCACTGGATATCAATGAGTTTCAAAATGTTTATTTTGAATCATGAAAAATTGAAATTATATGAAAAGGCGTAATTTAGCCTAAGTGACTTGTACTTGGGAAGACTACTTCCTGCTGTTCCCCTGTACACCTGATGAAGTTGGCTCTTGCCAGTGAAAGCAAGTGCCGCAATGTGGACACCATCAGTCTTCTTCCTCGTTATCCATTTATTTGTCAGAATTCTTACCCACTTTTAACCATAAGACCCCAGGTTGTGGTGGGTTAAGGCAATGTAAAAATACAGTATTTAAATAAATTAAAATAATTGGATGGGTCCTAAAACCCTATATCTCTCAGGTGTCAAAGGCCAGGGTAAAAAGCGGATCTCCAGCATATAACAAAAGCCAGACAGCTGACTGCAGTTCACTGAGTTTGGCTCAGCAAGCTGACCCAGGGCATCATCGCCTTTGTGCACAGGCAAGGCTCCATAGCACCCTATACATGTTAAGTCTTTGGGCTACTGCAGAACTCTCTCTCACTACAACCTCTGGAGTTTGTCCCTAAGGAAGGATATAGTGAGAATCCACCAACCTCAGAGTCTTTCCAATACTTTTCTTGGCCAATTCATGCATTTTTTCATCACTTACATGAAATGTGCACAATGTCATGAATGATTTTTCAACAAATAATATTATATTATTATTATTATTATTATTATTATTATTATTATTATTATTGCAGTTTCTTTTCAAATTTCTAATATATCCCCGATGAACAGTGCTCCTGTTCAAAGTTCTTTGTGACCTGGTACATTTCATGAAAAAAGAGCTTTTGATCCTACTAACTGGCTTTTTGTCATTTCCTGCGGTAACACTGGCCAACCTTTCAGCTCCTCTTCTCTCCCAATACACAGCAACAAAGGCAGACCTACACATAGCAAAGAACACAAGGCTGCTGCTGGAAACGGACACCATGGGTTTAGTTTCTGCCACCTGCCATATAGCATGCAGCACAACTTACCTGTGTCCCTTGACCTTACTACATTAAGAAATTACCCCCAGCAGAGGCAGGCAATGTTATCTAGATTGGACAAAGAAACCCACAACATTGTGAGGTCAAGAGACAGGGTAAGTTGCACGAGATGTTTAGCTGAGATGGTGGAACTTGACATAGGGCTGGCAGCTTTAGCAGCAGCTGGTCGTGCACCCTACAGTCTTGTTCCAGCCTCAGCAGACAAGTTTTCAAGCTTCTACATTTTTTACCTGAGCCACTTACCTTTTCCTTCTTTAAATTTTATGGCATCGTAGTATACTTGCAGCAGCTCGTCAAAGTCAGCTTTGTTGCCTCCTTTAGGTTCCACGATGACTGTCTTAATCAGTTCAAGCTTTTCCCATAAGCCAGTGTGCAGCCAGCGATCTTTCAGTTTATCTAACATCTGAACAGATGACCCCAAAAATGAAAGTATAAGAACTATGCCTACCAATTCTCCTGCTTCTTTCAAAATCAAAATGATATATGCACATGGGTAAAATACGATGTACACAGAAAAGAACTATAAATTCATTTCATATACGTTTCTTTCTGTCTCTCTTTCTTGCAAATTTGTTTAAGCAGCCCACTGAAAGAAAATGAAACTTAACAGCTTTGGGATTTTGAAACATCAGAGTTCTTTAAGCAGAAAGTATGTATGGACACACAGTCATATGGCACAATTATCATTGCAAAGACATACAGAAGTTACCGGGGGCGGGGGGAATCAATCATTTAAAAAAAATATAGGCAAGACTGCACATATTTGTAACTCTGACGTCTAATTTAATATGTATTTTACTTTATATTTATATTTTTCACTGCTTATTTTATTTCTATTTGGAAAAATTGGTCAATAGATTATTAATTTCTGACTGTATGTATTTCAATGTATATCCAATGTATATAAATTATTATTTATAATAATTTCCAAGTATATTTCATACTTTACATAAAGCACTTAAGAGGTTTTTATGATAAAGTGGGATACACATTCTGTCAAATAAGCAAAACGAACTGAAAATATATTCCCATTTTTTACCACCCTCTAAAGGGACTTCTGATGTCCTTGCAGTATAGCTCCTGGCTTGTTCCAGGTCTGGCCTGAGGTGGTGAGACAACCTGGATATTTATTCAGAAAATATTCCACAAAGGGGAGGGGGAAGGTATCCAATTTTATCATTTAAACAATCCCATCAGGTACGTTAGGCTGAAAGATAGGAGAGTTCCCTGACTTTGGTTCCCCCACTTGCCCATATCCATCATTCCCCCATGGCACTTATAACAGGTGGGACTTATGAAAGTTGCAGTCCAAAACACCTGGAAGGCACCAGGCTAACAAAGGCTGCTCTCCACTGACTGGCAGTGAGATTCAGACAGGGATCTCTCCTCATACTTGCCAAGGATGGAACCTGGAGCCTTTTGTATATAAAGCATGTGCTGTCCAGTATGTGGGACACAGCACAGCATCCATGAAGAAGACCCATGTTTTATTTGTTCTATTATCTATTCCTGCTTGGGCCCATCAAAATATCTAAACTGTACAAGCAGTAAATACAGTTGTCTTCTGTGATACTGAGTGGCAGTTATTTTGCATGCACAGCAATATACTCGTCCACACACACACAAATCTGTTGAATTACAATGGCTATTATGCTCACTCTATTCATTCTTGAGCCCTGCCTGACTTATTGCCCTGTAGTTTCACTCACTTCCTCTAAGAGTTTTGCCTCAAGCAGTGCAAAACTGCTCCCTGTGGAACCTGCAGGAATTCCCAGAGCAGACACCCGCAACATCCCTTATCTCTTAACCTTATTTCCTATCCAGCAACCTCAGGCTGAACTCTCGAGAACCCTTTAAGTGCCAAAGTTCACTTGGACCTAACAGCCTGGTTCAGCAAATCTAGGCAGGACCCACAGCTATCCATGAACACATGTTCCCTTTAATGCTTATTAAAGAAGAAGTAAAGGGGGTCATACGCCTTGCACTCTGAAGTGGCAAGTGAAATGAAAGGGGGGAAGGATGTGTGTAAAACATTTGTAATCAAAATGAAGATGTCCAAAGAGGGCAAGATAAAAACAGTAATACTGATTTTCAAAAACTTGAACGCAGAAGTAACATCTTATAGAGCAAAAAATATGGTAATCTCTAAGAGCCAAGTGTTGCCCCCTGAGCTCCTTGTTAGGTGTAGAGGATACTAAGGCTGCCATGCTCTGCACATTTGCCTCTTGACCACAGAGGGATTCAACTCTGAGTAGACTTGCATTGCAATGGGCTGTGAATTAGTTAAGCTGATTGCTTGAATTAACTTATGGTTGTATCAAAAGTAATACTCAGAGGAAACCCATTGAAATTAATGACCACAACCAACTTAGGTTCATTAATTTCCATGTGTCTACTCTGAGTAGAACTTGGGTTGCCTACAATCCCTAGCCAGGAAGGAATGATGGTTTGAGGGGAACACCTACTTGAAGGGGGGGGGGTTGTCAAAAGAGACAAAAAGCTTGACTGATGCAAGAGTATAGGGCAAACACAGCCATGTTACTTGTTTGAAACCTACCTACTTCTGACGCACTCAGACATTCGCCCACTGAATGAGCAGGTTCTTTGCCTTTTGAAATGGAAGTCATAGATTCCTGTTCACTGTTGGCAAAACCAGCACTAGGAACAGCTTTGCCTAGATGCCTTGAGGGAAAAACCCTAAAAAATCTTGAAAAGCCATTATTATTTCCCAGTTTGCGGATGACTGAGAAATGCAATGAGCATCTTTCACTTTTCACCCCCTAGAGGTCTGCAATCAAAGCCACTTCTGGCCCCTCCATAGCTTTGGACTTCTGAGCGACGGCTCCCTCTCAAACATAGAGCCTGCACCTGCTGCACAAACATACCCAGGCAAACATTTCAGGCAACATTAAAAAAAAATCCTCTACACAAGGCTATGTACTGTAACTGACAAACATTCTTTTGTTTGTTACTTTCTTATGTAATTTTGTGTTTTCATACTGTAAACTGCTCTGTGATCCTCAGATGAAGGCTGTTACAGAAATGTAAGAAATAATAATAATAATAATAATAATAATACCAACAACAACAGACATGATTTGGGGAGGAGGGTGTGGCACTAAAGTGAAGATATCCATGGAGTGGGCTAAACTCATCAGTGTGCTGCCAGATCTCTAGCAAAATTTACTGGGAAAAGCCTAGTGCAGAGTTCTCCAACCGAGAGCCCACAGGGTTTTGCTAAACTACAGCTCCCATTAGTCCTGCCCAATTTATACTCCATTTATATGATCAGAGCAGGGATTGCAAACCCTTTTGGACCCATTTGCAAACTAGAGATATTGTCGTAGGCACCGCAAATGCACACACACCACAACCAAGCACAGGTCACAATCTATTCTACTTGCTACAACAGAATGTCTCTTTCAGCGGGCAAAGGAGAGCCCATGAGCACCAGGGATGACCTCCGTGGACACAACCTTCAGCTTAGAATAGTCTAGAACAACACCACCACCACCACCACTTTTTGACTCCTAAGGGTCATACTGCAGGTTATCACTATTTATTTTATATTCTGTCCCTCCTCCCAGGGGTGGCAAACACACAAGTGGCAAAACAATAAAAACATCTAAAAACAATTCAAATACAGCTCCAGATTTGTACTTTTAAAAGCTTGTTGAAAGAAAAAGGTTATTCAGCAGTCTGTCTATTATTTAACATAAGGGGATTCCAAGGGGCTGGTGCCACAACACTAAAAGCCTGATTCAATGTGTGGAATAGACCTCCTGATGAGAGAGTATCTGCAGGAGGCCCTCTCATTTGGAGAACAAAGTGATACAGTTGCTTAACTCTTGCTGGATCTTCATGCCCCACAATTCCTGGTAGCAGGAAGTTTCGTGTGAAAAACGTTTGATATCTCCTGTCCCTTTCATTCTATTTAAAAAAAAAACTTGGGGGGGTGGAACTTACAGGGCAGCTGGGCACTGCTTCAAAGTGTAACACTGGCGAGACCTCAGGCCCCCCGCCATCTTGATATGCCCAGCAGAACTTGATACATTTATGCAAATCTGTGTCACGAGCCTCTGTCCTGAGCCCTTTAAGTACACCCGGCCATTTGCCTCAGTTTTATTTTGAACGAACAAGATGTGCACTTTTGCATATACAGAGAACACAATGCGGCAATTGAAAGGACGCTACATAGGGCCTTACACTCTTGCTATGACAGAGAGTGCTACTGAAATGCCGCTAATAAATAAAACTAAATAAAATATATTGCTCTCATGCCTCACAGGAACTCCTACCTTAAGAGAAGAGTTAGCCAGAAGAAACAATAGCACTTTGGTGCTGAGAAAAGCAGAGAGTGAGTCGTGCTTAAGAATAGAAGCCATGGAAAGAAGCCATTAACGTTCACAGATAGTCACTTTTCCACCCAGGGGAATAATAGTTTTCACAATGTGAGGCAGTATAAATATATATATATATGTTTTATTAAACTGTTTGGAAATGGATTCTTTGCCCAGAGAAGATTGCTTCGGAGGAGGCGGGGTGTAGGGAAGAGTTTGCCTACATTCAACAGATGCTGTTGAGTTTTGAGAGAAGTGTTTCTATAATTTGAAGGAAGTGTTACACCCTATTACTTTGGGTCAGTTCAAGTATGTCACATTTTCATCTCCAACTTGTGCAATTCAGCAACACGTATGTTTGCTACACTCACAAGTGATGGTATCTCTGTGGGCTAGTGAAAATGTAAAACCCCCAAAGACCAAGAAAATGTTGTAGGGTCACACTTTGGGAGCAGTTCAGATATAATGCTAAACCATGGTCAAGACTATAGCTTACTGAAACAAACAAGGATCAAAAACCACAGTTTGATCTTGGACATGTCAGTAAACCATAGTTTAAACTAAACACCGTTTGGAATGTATAAAAACCCATGATTAAAGAAGGAAGCCAATATTTTCAAACTCCCTCCTGGAGGAGCAGAGGGGATGTGGAAATGCTTGAATCCAGGCAAGCTCATTCACTTAGTGCTAAACTACAGCTCACTCATATCTGAACCAGAATTGTATCTCCCCGTGGCTAAGATGAACCAGGATTCCCGTTTTAATACAGAAACATTTCCTAACTAATGTCAATCCTTGTTTTCAAAACTCTCATCTAGCTGGGAGCGTAAGTAGCATTAGACGCAGTCAAAACCTGTCCCAAAATTCCCATAAACTGAGAAGTTTCTCTGCAAAAGAGGAGGGACTGTGTTTTTCCATGGGTGGCTCATTATGTTCTGCACCAGCCCAGAGCAGTTATAATGTTACATGTGAACCGACCTTTAAAAAAAAAGCATCGGCATGTCAGTTACCGTAACTTCTTGAGCCACTTGTAAATTTTATTATTGCAGCGAGGCAGCTCCCT